CAACTTAATGCCAGATCAATGACCTCTACACCCACGTGACAAAACATCCCTAAACTAGCCAACGGAGCGTAATTTCGCGCTTAAAAGTGCAAGTAGTCACATTTGCGACTAAGTGAACAAGAGGTCAAATCGCGGGTCATCGCCGCTTGAGGTTAGGACATGGCTGGCTGGAGACTGTAAATAAACAAGAGGTAAACAATTAGGTTTCAATGATTTTGTTTATGCGTTCGACCACCTATAAAGGCTCCAGGCAGGGATGCCACATTTCGGCCTGCTTGCCGGTTGAATGAGATTTGAACCAAATGAACTTTAGTAGCACGAAAATCAAGGCGCCGGTTCAAAAAGGGTCGCTTGAATTCCTCAGAACCCATGCAGAGTGCCATTTATGTGTGAGAGTGAGACAGTCTCTTATAGCAAAGGCACGTGTATGTTTGACGATGAAAAATGCGGACTGCCAGGGTAAATTGCAAATACATGATTACAAAGACGTTCCCTTTGAAATGAGTCGATGTTTTTTGAAAGCGAGGTCACTGTGGATAGAACTCTGCCGTGGTATATTTACTCATTTTGCGACTTAATTGGGTGCAATATAGTCAAGTAGCCAGCAAAAGTAGGGTTAAAAAGTGGCTAGAACTTGATATTCAAAAACATTAACACCCAATTGTCCTACTCCGGTTAAACTGTTCTCTGGTAGGTATGCTTATTTGTGTTTATGATGGTGTGTTGGATGGCGCCCTCTAAAATGACCTGAACAGATGCGTTGAACTGCTCTAGGGTAAACAACTGGACAACTTGCTATCTAAAGTACTATGTAAACTACCATGAAAGTACTCATCAGGGTGCTTAAAAAAATTTATTTATTTATAAATTATGAAATTTATTTTCTCCAAAATGACCGACGTTGTTAAGCTAACTGTCAGATCACATGCGGTTGTTTTGTTAATTCCAGTTTATCTACATGTAGGCGGATCTTCAATTTTCGCCCTGTTTCTCCAGTGTATTTGTAGTCCTAATCATTGCAACGTATTTGGTAGACAAATGCGGCAGTTTCAGTAGGAAGCAGTAGGTTCTCAGGTTGCATTATACGGCGGTATATTGTCGCCCGGAGTCGACGGGCTATGCCTACTCCGGTAGATTTTAACAGTCGAAAGAATGCTCCGGCCACTCAGATTTCGGGTCGCTGTACTTTTGGCCGTCGTCTCTTTACTCGGTGCGTGCCATGTTTGCTTAAAGAACTTGGGTATCCATTTTGCTCCGAAGAGATAATGGAGCTATTTTTATTCAGTTCTTCTGTCAGTAAGTGTGTTGCAAAGCGTATTGAACAGACTCCCCATGTCCTTGACATTTAAGATATGGTTTTCAGATGCCATCACTTTCAACAGGCAGCTAACTGTTCCCGCGGCCTACAATGTCCTACGTCATTACATAAATGAAGACCAGCTCAAGGTCACAAAAAACTTAAAAAGTGTGAGCGAAGACGACCCCGTGACTAACCCACTGGAAGAGGAAGCAGGATTACCAGCAACCTCCACCTTGGTGACGAAGCGCAAAACCAGCAGCCTTCAAACTACCCAAACATCCATACGAGAGCCTAGACAGCTAAAAAGAGAAAGAGAATCAATCAACCCAAGGCCGACAAGTTCATCCAGACACTCAAGTCACTGGTGGATACTGGTTTGAGAGCCGGCCAAGCTCTTCGAAGCGTCGGCAAAACAAAAATCTGAACAAGGCAAAGATCACGAGTTGGGCAGAATTTAATGACGTTATGAAATTTAGTGACCTCTCAAACAAAAATCGTCCCGGTGAGCAACATTATGTCTCGGATTTCTTTCCAAAACTATCATCTTTGCGAACTTGAGAATGTTAACATCACATTAGTATAGAACACTATTCTGAGTCTCCATAGTCTTTGTCGGTTTTTTTTCCGCAAACACATTACGGCATGCAATACCTAGGCGACAAACGACAGAATGCACAATTAGAAAAAAATACCTGTGCCCAAACTGATGCTACTCTTCCATACTTATTCAGTCTACAAATTTCGTCTGTTGTGTAGTGTCAAAAGTAAATCCGAGTGTGCTTAGAGACAGAAAAACAAGTAATCTGGGTGTTGATAGCGGAAAGCAACAATGGTTATCAAATGTTTTTCACTGTAGGTGTGCAGTTGTACATCAATACCTGTTTCAACTAGATTCCCATAATTCATTGAACCCAATTCCCTGGGTTATGGAGCTTAGATGGATATAACGTTGCTATTAATTAAGCTTTCAAGTTTATTTCGTCGGATATATCTCCACCGTAAACGTTGAGCTTTTTTCCATTAGGTCAGATTAATTATGCAAATCTGACAGAAAAAAAGTTGAAGAATTTAGTGCGGCATCCATCTGATGGATTTTAGACAAAGAGCTTAAGGAAGCCTGCTTAGGCAGTCAGCAAACTGTAACAGCAGTCGTTTACTTAGAGCATTGCCTATACACATGTCCAGTACTTTCTGTCCTGGGAAGGGACATTGCCAAAGCCGCCGATGTTTTTGCAATATTCAGATTAAATTCGATTTATTTTGCAATATATTAAAGTGTGTAGGATGAGGGAAAGGAGATTCTTGTTGTATCTTATCTTTAAGGGGGACAAAATATCTTAAAGTGTCTCCAACTGTCAAGCAAGACAGGTAATTTCTCTATTTCACATGAGTGAGGAGATGTGTATGTGCAACTCTTATGCGTAGGTAAAATAGCGCTAGTAAGCGGTCATTCTTTATAAGTGACTTTCTGGCAAAACCCTGTGATAAGCGATGAGGCAAAGTTGACTGCATGTTTCAGAAATCGAGCTCAAACTAGTTAATATACTCTAACACCTATCAGTACCACTGCTAATAACGCTATCAAACTGCAAAGGTGTCGTAATAGGGAAGAAACAGAACGAATGGTTATTAGTATGACAGATATATATTCAGAACGATCGTTATAGTTATACGTCAAAAGACACAGTCACAGCAGACGATACAATTTAGCCATGCATATTTCTGACTGCACTTTTAGCTTTCCACGGTTAAGTAAGACAGAATTGGGTCTAAAGTAAGACGCAAAGGCAAGCAATATGTAATAGTAAAAATCTGTGAGAAGGCAACCAAAGATGTTCAAGGAAAACTCACTTGAAGTAAGGGCACCATGAGCACAACCGGAGAAGAAGAGGGTGGCACAGAGCGAGGGGAGGTTCCGGCACCAAGCCACTGCAAAGATCGTAATAGCGCCAACTACTTGGCTGATAGCAATGGTGCAACTCCTACGCGACACGAACCGATCAGCCAGTACTGCTCCAAGAAGGGAGCCGAAGAACATCCCCACCTCACGAACAGACAAAGCCTGCCCGATTTCTTTATAACTGGCAGGGATATCGTGCATTAGGGTGGTTAGTGCTGGCCCGAGAACCTCTGCATACAGACCCTTGTTGGCAAAATTAAAAGCAAACGATAGAATACTGTCAAATAAGTTTGGCACATAAACAGCGTGTGAGGTAGCGGTCTGATAAAAGTAGTCAGTACAGATCTTGAACAAAGCTTACAAGACAAACCCAACTGTAGAATAGGGCTGCAGTTAATAAATATTTTATCGCATCGCATTTCTTAGAAGACGGCGCGGACGTATAATTAGAAGAGGAAGAGGAGATGGAATCCTTCATCAGTAGCGTATGTACTCCTTGCCCGTTGTTTTTAGCGGTGTCATCTCTGTATGTGGGTGGGCTGCACTCAGGAGTGTTCGTGTGTTTCAAGGTAGCTTGGGCCGGAACTTCATCAGAATCTTCTGCAGGCGGTTCAGGTGGATGTATGGAATTCGCAAACGCATGGATAAATTGCTCAGCCATTGACGATACGTAGGCAGGGTTTCTGGTGCCCGCATGGACGCGCATGGGGTTAAAAGCAAAACCAATCAAAAGAAAACGTCAATTCAAGCTCACAAAACACGATTTTAATAAAATCCATATAACTTTTAATGATGGCCAAATAAGTATATTTATTTTAGTTGCTGAATATGGCCCAAAATGTTTCATTTGTAAAAAAACATACCCGTGTGTTTAATAAAAGTAAATAAACAGTGGAGGATAAGTTCGACAAAAACAAATAAACCACTTCTGGTTTAATTAAACCAGATTCATTATAATGAAAGACAATCGTAAGAAAACAAAATCTGGTAGGCATTACAAGTTGTATAATCTGAAGGAATTAAAGTATAAAACATACAAAAAATAACGACCTCGATCACTAGAAAAGCAACACAGATTGCTTATCTAGATTTAAACAGATAATTAACTATTTAAAACCAAATATAAGTCCATTAAAACGACTTCGTCAATGAAACAAGTTGGCAAAATATAAAAAAATAATCAAAGATAATTACGTATAAGGCCCCGTCAGTAGACGATGTAGAATGTGGATAGAAGCGTGACCGGCGTGCGACGAAGCCTTAACAGTGCAAGCGCAAAATAGGCGGGGTCACAGCCGATGGATCATTCAGCCCTGTATAGATAAAATTGACTCGTTTAAAGACTAAGGTCAGGGTGGATAAGCATGCCTGGAAAGCCATCAAGTCCCTTGTTTGAAGGGTTCTTTTAGCGATAAAGAAGAGGGGTAGAATGTTAAATCTGGTAACTATGACTGTATAGTCTTGGAAATCTTTTCAGTCTTCGTTCGTGCTTGCCGCTGTCTGGCAATTGAATCCAGTTTTCAAATACTTGATGTACTTCTGTCGCATATGCTCCTTGTCAGGCGGTCGTGAGGAAACTCATTAAATTTAACTATTTAAAGTATAATTTCAGTGAGAAATGCGAGAACTTAACAATTTTTCATTCATTTTCTGAAACTGTGGCATTTGTATTTTTCAAGGGAACACCTACTACTGCCTCTCCATTTTACTGATCAGGACATTTTTAAATCTTGACAAAGGATAGAGAATTTGCATATGATTCAACTAAATGTTTTTCAAGTAAAATCCTGTCATCGGTATTGCTCCTAAATATGTGACCGCTGCTTCCGTTAACATGATTGTAGAATTAGATTTTCAGATGTTTGACTCTGTTCCAATTTATCGATATTTAACCAATGTATAGGAAGTGGTTACTGCAAACACTGCTTAAAATAAACATCTTCGGCAGAGACAAAGGACACAAGTATGGCCATTACTTGCTTATTAGCTGTCATTATCCAGTCCTGCCTACCCCATTTGGTGAATACCCGAGGCTTTACACCGCAATCTCGTTGAATGTAATATGTAAAAGGACAAAGAGCAGGCAATATACTTGCGACGTATTTTGAAGACCAGGGCCAAATTACTTGAATAGCACCCTTCGTATACATTTTGTTGCATATGGATCACGTATGAGGACAGTGTTACAATCTTTGATGTTCTGGGGTAGCTAGGCTACTTTTAAGGACATATATATTCACCAATTGTATTTTCAGCTCTGCTGACTTCGTGAATAAGCCCTGTGTATTAAAATAAAAGAATTAAGGGACGTAGCTCTCATCGATCATTTTTGCGGTCATTAGATCCCACGGTGCTATTATTATCATAGCGCAAAAACGTTTATCTGCATGGTTCGTTTGTTGCAAACCGTTCAGTTACCTAGCCTGTTTGTCAATCCAGATTGCGTCTCACCATTTATTT